TTTTACGTGGAAAACCCAAATGGGAAAAACCACGGGGCACTTACCCAGATGAAAAATCAATCCACTACTGAAAATGGATTACAACTTTCGGATCATAATCCGAATCTCTCAAAGTTCTAACACCAACAAGGGAGATTTTCTCTCAACCTCACTCTGTTTTTTCTGCACTGCTTTCCCTCTGTTTTTCACGCTCTAACCAATCTGCACTCTTTTCAAATTTTAAACAAGAGATTAAATAGGGAGCTTTTGGATACAAGAATAGTGTAACACTATCCTATCAGGGACTAACATGTCAGCATGTCCAAAGTTGGAGGAGTCCACTTTGCTTTTCCCATTTCTTCAACAATTGGAAATGTCCGTGTCGGGATCCACTGTTCATCTTCAAAACCAAACTTCCCAAGTTTTCTGCCATTCACCGTGCACTCATGGTGCACCTACATTGTTGAGCCACCCAACTTGGGAGGGCTAGCTCAACAGAATGTGGGAGATCTTGGACCATTCGGGGCCCCTCTTTTTGGCGCATCTTTTCTTCAATTTGGGACTACCCCAAATGCCAAGATGTTGTAAGTTGAAGAGGCGTCGCATGGCTTCAATAGAAGGCAAATGAGTCAAATTAGAGCAATTCCCAATCTCCAGCCTGTAAAGAGAAGAGAGGTATCCCAACCACTCTGGCAAAGCGTCCAGGCCATTGAGGTCCGATAAGCACAACTCCTTGAGGGCAATGAGATGTCGAAGCTGATGTGGCAGATGAGTCAAATTAGAGCAATTCCGAATATGCAGCCTGTGAAGACAAGAGAGGTCTCCCAACCACTCCGGCAAAGCTTCCGGGCCATTGAAGTCCCATAACTTTAATTCCTTGAGGGTAGTGAGATGTTGAAGCTGATGTGGCAGAGACTCTAGTTTATCCCATCCATACAATGCCAATTCTTCAAGGGAGGCATGGAGTTGATGAAGGGAAGTTAGTCCAGGAAAATCCTCCAACTCTGACCAGAAAGGACCAAGGTGTAACCTCTTCAGGCAGGTGAGGCTAGCTAGCCACTCCCCTGGAATGCTCCTTAGATTTTTGCAATCCATAATACTAAGAACATTAAGAGAATGCAATTTCCCGATGTCTTCTGGATTGGAAATTAAATTAGTGCAACTGTCAATTCCCAACCGCTGAACAGAAATGCAAGAGTCCAACCCAATTGGAAGACACGTTAATCCGTCGCAACGAAAAAGGTTGAGTCTTTCAAGAGATGTGAGCCCATTTATACTTGGAATGGAGTCCAGATTTCAGCTTCCTCTAATTTCCAACGACTGAAGAGAGATGCAGGATCCAAGTCCGATTGGTAGACTTGTTAATCCATCGCAAAAGAATAACTCTAATTTTTTTTCAAGAGTTGAAAGCCCATCTAAACCAGGGATAGCCGTAAGATTTGAACAAGATTTTATCTGCACCTCCGAGCGCTTGTGATGAGATGAAAATCCACCCATCGACCAAGTCTTCAACAAAGGACATTCATAAATCAGCAACTTCTTAAGGCAAGGAAACACGACCACACCTTGGCCCCCTGTAGTTGCATCCTCAACAACTTCAACCCATTCCTCTAGCCTCTTCATGTGACACACGGTAAGTGTTTTCAAAGCTAGGAACAATCGGATCGATTCTGCTCCACCGGGCTGAAGCTTGTGAACCATTCTTCTAACATTTTCCATTCTTTCAATGTAAAGAACCTTGAGACTAGGCAATAATCCAAAACTCAGAGTACATGTGCACTCATTGCAATTAATTAATAGCAACTCCACCATGTTGTAGAGAAGGAATGAAGAACCAGAACTATTGACATCATTGCCCATCCAAGATGGGAACCTCTTTCCCATGTAACCATCAATAGTGAGGCTTTTCAAATTTGAATGAGGCTGAAGCCTGAAGGCCTTTTAGAACCTCTTCATCGTTGTTGTTGTTGACTGCTCCTACATGCCTTCTACTCCAGTATAATGCCAATTGATGCAATTTTGTCTTTTCTTTCAGGTTTGCTTTAGAGGCTTCTAATTTGGATCTTACATGTTGAAGCTTGAAAATCATTAGTTTTCCTCTAAGTTGGCTCAAGCATCCAAGGTCTTCAATCTGGCTTCCCTTTTTTGTGCCCACAACAAAGTCTGTTAATGTTCGAAGGGAAGTTAACTGCATGATAGATATATCACGTGGATGCACAGAATAGACATGCCTCAAGCTGATGAGATTTGCCGTGCCACTGGGAAGCGAAATGCAACAATAGCCAAAATTTGAAGTCTGCAAATGATAGAGCTTGGAGAAGGATTTTGGTAGTACACTTACTTTAGTGCTTGAGATATCAAGGTACTTTAAATGCTTCAATTTGCCAAGTGAAATCGGCAACTTCTTCATCTTATATCCCATTAATTTCAAGGATCGCAAGCTTTTGAGATCTGACGCCATGCTACAAAAAACATCACCATCTAAAAACAAAGAATGCAACCTTTGAGTAACACTTCTTGGAATGGTTGAAAGATCCTGTCCATTGGACTTGACTCTCAAATGTCGAATAGTACTATAATTCTGAACATCAAAATTGCAATTAGTATCCCAAATCAAGGTTTCACCTTTTGAAACAAGTAATGCAAGATCATGCACTAGATCATACATTTTACAAGAATCAATGTTCCCATACAAATCCCATTCAATATCTTGGAATAAAGCAATAGATAACAACTAGATGAAATACTCCATTTCCACAAGGCTTTCATTATATCTGTGAACAAACCCTTGAGCCATCCAGAGTTGAATTAAATCATCTTTTAAAATGACAGCATCCTTTGGAAAAATTGAACAATAAGAGAACACTACTGCAGGGAATCGATATTCAGACCAAAAAATCGGTCCAAAAAACAATATACAGACCGATATCGGTCCGTATAATTGAGCCGAAAAAACATAGTATGAAAAAATAAAATATACAGACTGACAAAAAATTGATCCATAAATTAAACTATTCAAACCGCAACCGGACTGTATACTTTGGTAAAAAAATTCAGGTTGTGATTATAAAATTGAAATTTACGGACCATAAATGGTCCGGATATTAAGAATATAATAAATAATTTTATAATTACAGACTGCAAACGATTTGAATAATCAGGGAAAATAATTACAAAAAATATATTCAGACCGATTTCGGTCTGAATATAAACATCCTGAATGGCAATGAAAAGTATATTCAAACCAATACGGGTCCGTATATATAGGACTCAATTGAAACTTCTAAAAATTATGCTGCTAATTTGTATGTTTAGTATACATTTTGCAAACTGTTAACGGTCCGTATACATAGGACTTAGATGTAAATTTTGAAATATCTGCCGCCATATTGTCGTGACATCGAAAATATATTCGGACCGTTTTCGGTCCGTATAAAGAGGACTTAGATGTAAATTCTGAAATATTTGCAGCTATGTTATCGTGACAGCGAAAATAAATCCGGACCGTTTGCGATCCGTATAAAGAGGACTTCGATGTAAATTATGAAATATTTGCTGCCATATTGTCGTGACATCGAAAATATATTCAGACTGTTTTCGGTCCAAAATTAAAGTTAAAACAAATAAAAAAATATAAAAGAAAACAATTATTAAATGAAATAAGATATATTTATTTTTCTTGCTATTTACAAAATATTCCAAAATTCAAATTATATTATACTAATGAAATATTAAATATCTCTATAAAATTTAAATAT